ATAACTTTTTTTCAACTTTATCAGCAAAATTTACTTTCCTACCATTTCATCAATAATTATATTTATCTAGTTAAAAAAATGTTCTCCTGTATCAAACGTCGCTGGAAGTCTTCTACAAAATAGAAGGCAACACCACTATATGCATGATCAAGTATAGGATAAGGCCTGATAGTATAAAGTCTGATTGTATAAGACCTGATTGAATTTTAATATTATCCAACGTTTGGCACGATATTGTATAAAATAATATATTATATAAGATAATATCATCTAGTATTTGGTAATGCACTGTATAATACTATATATGAAAAAAACACATGTTTTTAATAAAAATATCCTTTAATAAAGAATTTATATAATTCTTCAAAAAATGTCATATAATATTAATTTTTATAAAAATTTATTGATCAGTGAGTTCAAAATATAAATTAATTTTTATAAAAATAAAAATATTCAATATTTTAAAAATTAATATATTGAAAAATAATTTTTATTTTAATAGATTAATATTAAAATAACATATTAATTTTTGAGAATTACATTAGTCATGTTAATACATCAATTTCTTATCAGGCCTTATCCCTCACCCTTAGGTCGGATTAAGTTATACATCATTTTAATGTATTAAGGGATTTTGCTGTATAAGCTTATATTATACGATGGTCACACCAAACAACTGAAAATGTCATAACGTATAGTATAAGCTTATACTAGCATGCCTTATACGTCACACCAAACAAGCCCTTATAATTCATACAAATATTGTCTTAAGATTGTTAGGAAAATGATGTAAAAATCATTGAAAGAAGATAATCTATATTAGAGAAATTATTTCGACAATATTCACAATTCCATGAAATCCACATTAAAAATTGAAACATAAAATAATACACAGTTAAAGCATACCATACGAAAATATATGAATGCATCAATGAAAAATTTGAGCCCAGTGTTAGATATTGTGTCTTTAAGACAATATTATCCCCTCTATGGTGCCCAAGATTCGTCGACAATTGTTTCTCAGGATAGAACGAATTACTTCTATTCTTGTGGTAGCATCTCCATATTGAATAGTCTCATTGAACTCAACATATCTCTGACCAATCGAACTAGAGTACAATAATGCAAATGCAATGGAAAAAACTATTATAAAAAATCCTGATTCTCTATATATTCACAGGAAACTTAAGGTCATGATTCAAAAGGAACTATTTATCGATGAAACAACACATCTGTTCGACGACAAAAATACATACCTTTTTTTTTATAAACAAATAAGTACCTTTTCAAATCAAATTTCTTATTCATAAAAATAATTAATTTAAAAAAATTAATTCCAACACAAACATTAAACCCATAATTTTATGTGTAACACATTTTCAATGCAAGTTTTGCCAATGCACGTGGCTGTCACTGTAAACAAATAAATAGTAATTTTGGAAACCCAAGTAGTTAGAGAGATTATGTTTATTCTAAGAGAAAGTGAATAACTGAATTAAGTTCAGGTCAAATATATATCTTCATATGTACCTTCCACTGGAGTCACATAAAAATTATACGTATTACCTGATGTGTAAGTTGCAATATCGCCCAATATTCAAAGCAGGACATGTGATATCATGTGCAATGCCTAAGACCCTGAATAACTCAATGGTCGACAGACATGTCTTTGCAGTTAGATTTAGCGATGAACTAGTTTAATTGATCCATATCTGCATTAGATATATGATATTTTTTTAAACTAGATCTGAGTGATGGAGTAATTTAATTCCAACTTGAAAGAAGCCGAAAAAACTATTCAATTCCAACTTGAAAGAAGCCGATAATACTATTCAATTCCAACTTGAAAGAAGCCGAGAATACTGCATTGGACATCTTAACTGCATTGCTGTCTTTCTACAAATCAGAAGATTTTTTTTTTACCAACTGTAATTGTCTCATGAAATGGGTCGGTTCCGATATCTCCACAAACTTTAATTCTTTGAATCGATTACGAGACTAATCCTGAATCGGGGCTTAGTTACAATTAAAACTCTTTCACTACAAGAAAACTGGTATTTGGGGTGTGTGTAGTGTTTAGTGGGTGTGTGTGTTGCAGTTCGATTCTCATGTACTTCAAAAAAAAAGAAAACTGGTATATGGAGGCTGTTTATTCGACGCGGTTTCACTTAAACCGCCTCTAATTGATACATAGAGGCGGTATTTTCGGCGGTTTAATTGATTCGAGACGGTTGACGTGAAACCGCTTCCAAATGTAAATTAGAGGCGGTTAAAATAACCGCCTCCATTTACCATTCAGAGATTGAAACCGCCTCTAATTGCTACCTTCAGAGGCGGTTAAACCATAACCACCTCCAAATGTATATTAGACGCTGTTAAAATAACCGCTTCTATTGACCATTTAGAGGCAGTTGAGATATAATCGTCTATAAATGTAGCAATTAGAGGCAGTTTGAATGTAACCGTCACTGAATTGTAAATAGAGGCTGTTATTTTAACCGCCTCTAATATACATTTGGAGGCGATTTCTCGTCAACCGCCTCAAAATATACATTAAAAATGGTTAAAATAACCGTCTCCAAAGTATATTTAGAGGCGGTTCATGATCTTTCAGACAGTGTGATTTGTAACATCCCGAGTGTTGACAATTGTATGGTTAGTGGAAGAGCTAATGTACAATTGAATGTATGGTTAGTGGAAGAGCTAGCGTACTATCAGCGGGAGGGGTACATAAATGAATTGAATAACACCGGAAAGAGAGGGATTCCAGAGATTGTGCTGGTATAGGACAGCACAGCTGATGATAGCTTATAAGAATTAATTGGTACTACGTATACTAACAAGATGCATCTTCTTTTCGGTAACCCGGAACGGAAGAACTCCATAGTTAAGCGTGCTTGACTTGGAGCAATTCTGGGATGGGTGACCTCCTGGGAAGTTTTCCCGGGAAGTGTGCGAGTGAGGAAAAAGCACACTGAAAAGTCTCGTGTTAGTATGTGGGGATAGTCGTCGATTCTTGAAGCGGCCGGGCGTTACAAGATTCAAAGAGGAAAATCTCTTTGTTCAGCCGTTGGATCGTCCTCAAATTTGATTAATATGTTCTTCTCTTGTAATACTTTAATTTAACCGTTCAGATCGTCCTCAAATTTGATTAATGTGGTCTTCTCTTGTAATACTTTAATCTAACCGTTCTGATTTTTAAGTTGAATTATCTGGTGTTATATATAAATTTCTAAAGATGATTGTTGCACATTGAAAAAAACCATCTCACCTTCACTTTGAAGTCCCACATTGAATTTCACTTGTTCTTCTTTCTCCATTCCCTTCTATATTACAACCCACTAACACACACATATACAAAATTCAATAAGTTATTTATATTCAACTAATAACAATTATATTAACTTTTAAAATTATTTTTTTAAAAACTATATTAACTAATCACTATCAAAAATTATATTAAAAATAAAAATTATATTAAATTTTAAAAGTAACAATTTTAATAATAAAAATTAAGAATTTATATAATTTTAACCATTTGGAGGCGGTTACACGTTATTTGGAGGCAGTTAATATAACCGCCTCAGATTGTCTTTCGGAGGCGGTTAAAATAACCGCCTAAGATTATCTTTTGTAGGCGGTAGTGAGGCGGTTAAAATAACCGCCTCAGAATATGTTTTGAAGGCGGTTAGAATAAATGCCTCAGATTCTGACTCAGATTTTCATGTAGAGGCGATTATTCCAGCGGTTTTAAAAAACTTCCGTGTTTTGCCTCGCGATGGTGTTAAACGAGACGGTTTATGAATCGCCGAACCACCGCCTCTAAATGCAAATATAATCGTCTCGAAAATTCAATTTTCGTGTAGTGTTTGTCCCTTGCCAAATATGTATTTGGTGGTAACTGAATTACATCCTCTAAGTCTGTGTTACCAACTGAATTACATCCAGTAAGTAAAGACTTCATTATTTAAGCACAATAATAACTCTGAGATTATTAGTATATAATTTGGACTCATTAAATATATTATTTTATATAAATCATCCAGTATTCGGTCATTAATTGCGTCGACTAATCCGGATTCGAGTAAGATAATACCATAAGGGCGAAAAGCTCATCCTACCTAGTTTTAATACAATTATATACTTAAAACTGTAATTCGAGATCACTAATTAAGTTAGAACAATTCATTACTAATTAATTCACGTGCTTAGTGATATATATTTACTCTTTTGACTTCTATGTGGTATCTAAGTCCTTGTTCCTATTTTTATTTTGAAAATCAAAATGTATTTTTCCTTACATATTGTCCAAAGTTTCATTCCTATGTTCATGTTATTTTTTTGTAATGAGATGAAAGCGTACGTAGAAGACAAGACTCCATGCAAATCATTCTGGGTAGACCTACATTTATTCTCTATTAACAATACTACTGCACTCTATAAGAGGGTTATAGTAAATAACAATGTCCCAACTCTGAGTATTAGCATGTCCTGCCAGCCAATCTGCGAAGCTGTTAGCTTCTCTAAAAGCATGTGTTAGTTGTGTAGTTCACAAGCCTGTTGAACTGGGGAAACAAGTTATCCAGCCAAAATTGAGTCTCCTTCCCATCCCCAATAAGAATTAGAGAGAGAGAGAGAGAGAGAGAGAGAGGTGACATGGTGCGAAGTTTTGGAGACTTTGAAAAAGCAATAAAGTAAAAATATTTCATTTCAGAAAGATGTGCCAAAGAAAGAATCAAATTTACCGAGGTCATGTTCATATTAATTGTAGTCCTGAATTTCAGACAACAAATACATCCTTTGCATTAATTATATGAACCTCTTTCTGGACCACATGGATCACATAGACAACACGAGCAGTATTGAACTAATTGAATAACACCATAACATGTATAATTACCTTCTGAGTAACTCAGTTATTGAATACACTAGAAATTTAAACCACATATAAATAATTCAAACTCAATTACTACAACAAAAGCTTAATTAATTAGGCACTAGATAGGTTTCTATGGGCACTTGTATTTGTTGCCATGAGTCAACATATTAGTGTAACATTTGCCACACATTTCGCGGTTACCATAAGTTCCTGGAGGGACACATTTGCAGCGGTCACAGCAAGCCGTGCATGCCCTCATGCACACTCTTTTCCTTCTTTGCTTTTGGCACCTATGAGCACACAGTGGAATGCAATCTGCCCATAAAAAAAATCATGAGTATTAATCATTCATCAGATCATATTAAAAAGTTAGCACACATTAAGAATCAGTTCTGAATAACATTAATTAAAACTATGTGAAAATTAGCACATAAAATGTGATTATTTCATTAATTACAACAGAGCCAAGAGAAGAGAGTTATTAAGGGAATTTTATAAAGTACCCACTTACCCTTCTTGGATTTAACAATGGGAGGTGGTGGAGCTGAAGCAACAGGGGGCTTCACTACTGGTGGAGGTGGAGTAGGTGCCTTAATTGGTGGCGGTGGCGGTGGTGGAGTATGTGCCTTAATTGGTGGCGGTGGTGGAGAATGTGCCTTAACTGGTGGTGGTGGTGGTGGTGGTGGAGAATGTGCCTTAACTGGTGGCGGTGGCGGAGTATGTGCCTTAATTGGTGGTGGTGGTGGAGTATGTGCCTTAACTGGTGGTGGTGGTGGTGGCGGTGGAGAATGTGCCTTAATTGGTGGTGGTGGTGGAGTATGTGCCTTAACTGGTGGTGGTGGTGGTGGCGGTGGCGGTGGAGAATGTGCCTTAATTGGTGGCGGTGGTGGAGGAGTATGTGCCTTAACGGGTGGTGGTGGCGGTGGTGGAGTGTGTGCCTTAATTGGTGGTGGGGGAGGAATATGTGCCTTAACTGGTGGTGGTGGTGGTGGTGGAGGAGGAGTATGTGCCTTCACTGGTGGCGGTGGCGGTGGTGGAGTATGTGCCTTAACTGATGGTGGTGGAGGAGGAGTATGTGCCTTAACTGGTGGCGGTGGTGGAGTATGTGCCTTAATTGGCGGCGGCGGCGGTGGAGTTGATGCCTTCACCGGTGGCGGTGGTGGAGGATTTGAAGGACTTGCAAAGTTCACCTGCGTACCACAATGCCAAATTTGTAGCACTTTTAACATGAAAAATGCTATTTTCTAAACACTCGTACACTCTAGGCTTTTGCATTTGTCCGAGCCAAAATTAAGATGTGAAATTGTGAATATACAAATACAAAAAGTGAATTAATTCTATCTATAATAAATAGAAAAAACAAAAACAATAAGAAACAATAAGGGCGTCTAGGATCATTGATTTAACATAACTTCCGTGTCTATCTCAAGGAGATATTTTCCTTTTAAATAAAGGTAGGAAAATTGAGAAGATTTAACTAAAAATACAAAGTAATGAAAAATACTAACAGTGTGCTATACTTTTAACTATACCCTTTAATGTTCTTCCATTAGTCTTTAAATTTTCTTCTATGTGAAGGCATTATGAAGAAAACCAGAATGCGAAAAAATGAGCATGTTCAATAGTGTACAGAAAGGACTAGAAAAACACATGGAGTTGTTAATCTGTTTCCACTGTCAATAAATAAATGAAAAACGAAATCATACAGATAGTGACAATAGTTCATGAAATGAACTTTTAAATAAGGATGTTCAGATACCAAAAGGGAATAAAAAAAATGGAAAGGAAAAATTTGCATGTGTAAACTTACCACTATCTTGAGATCTTCATTATATGAAAATACCTGCACATCAAGATATTAAAAGTAAAGGTGGGGTATTCAAGTTTAAAATGGGCTTAGAATGAAGAAAATAAATTACTTTTCACTTTCAAACGATGAATGAGTGGAAAGTTAAAAGTAGAATTGTAAAGAACCATTTCAACCTAAAACTTTAAGGTATTGAGTGAAGGTACATTAATGATTTTATATTTCTCTAACACGCTCCCTCGTACGAAATCTTACTGGACTTGAAGGGTGGACAATGCACAAACTCTCCTACATGTGCTTAATAAAATCCACAATACTTAATTATTCATTAATTAAATGAAGGGCAGTGAGGATCGAAGTCGTGACATCGAGACGCTCTGATACAATGTAAAAAATCAATTCAACCCAAGTGGCCCTGTGGTTCTTTAAATGGAGTTTATGATGGTATTAGATAAGGAGTGATCAAATGATCATGAGTTCGATCCTCGCCTCACCCACTTTCAAGTGAAATTAAGAAAAGCACAAGGTAGACCATAAAAAATAAGTTTGTGCAGCACAAGGCAAACAAAAAATAGACTTGTGTCATATTCATGCTTCAAGTCCAAAAGACTCTTTCTCGAGGAGATGTGTTCGAAATTTTAAAATTAATTTAACCTCGTACTAATGTCTTGAGATTTTGAGTTGAAACGACATTTAACAAGAATAAAGAAATATACCTTTGTGGCTACCAAGAGAAAAATGGACAGAAGAAGAATGGATTTGGAAGCCATTTCTGGTGGAGCAGGGACCAGAGAGGATGGAAGAGGTGTAAAGGGCTAGCTAGTGAGTGTTAATCCAAGCAATTATAAGATAGAGTGTTATATAGAGATGAAGGATGACGTGAGAGATAAGAAAAAGTTGGGAACGGTACCAGAAGAAATGGTTTAGGTGTTAGGCCGGCTAAATAATGCCTCACTGTGCCCTAAGCTCACTTAAACAGCTTTTACCCACATGCCTACACATTTTTTGTCCACTAAACTAGCTTATCTAGTTCATAAGAGTGTGTGTTGCTACTAATCTAAAGCGTATGAACCCATACTTTGGGTGTTTGACGGAATAAATTTTTGGTGCTACTGTTGCATCAAATATTCAGTATATTTCACCAATAAAAATATTACATGTCAGTTAAAGTTTAATTTTTTCTGTTAATTTTTTTTTCTCTCCTATGATGTGTAATATTCTCATTGGTGAGATGCACTGAATCTTGGTGCAACAGTAGCACCAAAAATTCATTCCATGTGACGACATCTTAGTTTGACAAAATTCACCGGTCAAAGTATTATTTGGATCAAGATTTAGGCGGGTAGCAATTCGGGTTCACAAGTCATGATACAATGAATACGAATATACTTAATACAAATATCAAATGAATTTGAAAATGAATCAAACTCTTTGACACTAATATGATTTATTTATTTTACGGATTGAAACAACATAATATAAATAATTTGTCAATTTCAAAGTTTGTCGCTTATTATATTGACACGATATGACACAAATAATATATAAGAAGATTAATATAAAGTAATTTTGTATTTGCAGAAAGATATATGACACAATACAAATTTTTTAATATCAATATTTTTTAGTATATAATATCAATTTTTGTTAACATAAACATGAAACTAATTTGAAAATAAATCAACCTAAGCATATTTTTCATATTGTGTGAGCAGATCATATTGAAAATTGTCAAGGTAATTAAAGGGAGTGTTGATAATCGGCAAAAAAATTTAAATATTGTTTTTTTAATAAATAATTATACAAATGTAATCGTTTTAAGATTATTTACGTCAGGTACAGCAGTCAAACATGCTCACATAGAACACAGTCAAATACACTCACTTGCGACTTGACTAGGAGAGTGACACACCCAACAGAGAGGTGTTCTCCCTTGTCTATATACATAAGAGATAGTGAGAAGTGGGGTGGAAATATTACCGAATCTTTGTGAATGGAAGAGTTTCCACAAATTGGCAAAGGTTCTGCTCGCGAAGAATTGGCATTGTTGTTGTCGTTTTTGCCCATGTCGTTGAAAGGTGAAAACTTTGAAGAGATTTGGACGAAACGATGGCGATTTAGGGACAGGGGAAGAAGGAACGATGACTTAAGAGTGATGTGTCGTGAAGTTAGCATAAGGATTTGCAATTTATCTGGCCCCACATGAATTTGATTCATATCAAATTTAATTACATGACACAAATAATTTCAAATTAATGAATAGAAATGGACTAATTAAAATAAATATGTAATTACGAAAATTTTCTATTTGAATATATAATTATCTCTCCTAACTCTACCAGCCAAATTCATTTTTAGAAAATTTGAAAATCTATCAAAATTGATTTCATTTATTTTTTTAAAATAACAATACATGGGATAGAATATTGTGACACACAAATAATCATCTATGAAGTACGAACACATGTCTTTTTTTTCCTTGTTGGACACGTTCTGACACATATGTTTTGGGACACGCGATCAACACTCTGACACACATACTTTATGAGATCAACATTTTCTAACACGTGGTTTATGTTCGTGCAAATCTAAATTTCATTTTATTTTATCTTTTAATTAAATATGAAAATTTAATCGATAAATCAAACATTTTCTGCTATAAAATTTGATATGAAAAATTACTTTTTCTTTATATTTATGTTATGAAATTTGAATATTTAGTTGATTACATGACTTATTATCGGCTGCTATATGTATTAAATTTAAACTATATTATATATATTAAAATTAATAAATAGTAAGGAAGCTTTATCAAAAAGAAATTTTTTTAGAGAAATAAGAGAGAGAGGGAATAAAAGAGCGGAGTCTTAGGAATTTTTGATGAAAATCTATTAAAAGAAAAGTAGATAAAGAAAAAAAGATAAAAGTGAATATTAAGTTGAGAATAATTTTTTTTTTCTGTCTTTGCTTTAAAATATAAATGATATGATAGTGTTATTTTTATGGGTTTGAAGTTTGTCATTTTAAATGACATAAGTTATATCATTTTAGGAGAGAGATAGACACAAAAAATAGGAATCATGGGAGAAAAAGTGAGAGCTTTTATAACTTAAATTTTAAATAAAAAATATTATTTTATGTCTATCTCTCTCCTAAAATAACATAATTTTATGTCATTTAGAATGACAAACACATTTCCCTATTTTTATTATTTTTTTCCTTTTCTTTCGATGAGATACCGTATTCTAGTTACTGAAATTTATATTTTCAAAAAGTAGAATTCTATAATTATATAATTTATGGGTAAAGGATTTCTCCAGTCAATGGAGATAAGTTATCTCCGGTGAGCCCAAAATGACGACGTTTTGGGACGGAAATTAAGGTATTTTTGTAATTATAATTTATTACAGGGTTATATTAGTCTTTAGCATTATAATTTTTTAATTTTATAACCCTAAAACGATGTCATTTTGAACTCACCGGAGATAACCTTATTTTCAGTGACTGGAGAAATGCTTTTCCCATAATTTATATAGGAAAAATGTTTGTCATTTTAAATGACACAAAATTATGTCATTTTTAATAAAACTATGTCGCTTTGATGTATTTTTACTATAATCATAAGGATCTTTACTATGAATGTTTCTGATCATAACAATGATTTTCTGTTTATTAATTTAGGTTTAAACGTTTCTATGGTATCATTGTTGTAAATTCAAATTTTTTTGTGAGAGATAAAATATGTCAAATGACGTGTCATTACTTAGATCTCGAAAAATTATGTGGAATCAAAAAAAAATTACCTAATTCGGACGCTCGAGTCAAAAGTTATGGACTTCCAAAATTTTATGGTTAAACTGTTGACTTTTGTGCCACGTGGCTGCACCTGGTGAAACACGCCCCACATGAGAGTGTCTCTCTCCTCAAACACGCCTCAATGAGGAGTGTCTCTCTCCAACCGGTCACACCCCTTTGCAATGTTATTAAAATCGGTCCGGTCATTGACGTGGTCGAGGTACTGGGTCACTGGTTTAACTAGTGGGTCACTGGTTCAATCGCATGACTCGATAATTATATGTAATTCTATAATCTATATTAAAAAATTATGACCATACTCAAATATCTTTAAAAATGATAAAAATTTCAAATATTTTAATATAAAAATAATAAATCACATATTATTATCCAATCAAACAAAATAATAATAATCGTGATACAAGGCTTTAAGTTCAGAAAACGATATCTCTAACTATAAATCAAATCAAAATTTGCTGAAATTGAAATAATATTAGTGTTGTAGGTACATAATTTATGTAAGTCAATAAGCAAAAAAATATTCAAATATGTCCATTATGATTTCTTTTTTGAAAAAAAAAAATGGATTTTTTTTAGGACCGGGCTGGGTCACCGGTTTTCATGAAACCGGCCGGGTCTGACCGGTTCTGTTGCATGGTCGGTCGTTGCTTCAACCGGACCGGTTATATGACCAGTTTACCAGTTTCCGAATCGTCCCGGCCGGGTCGGTTTGGTTTTATTAAAACTGCGAACGTGTTTGACTGCTATACCTACATAACTAATTTCAAAATAACTATATTTACGTAATTATTTATTAAAAAAACAATATTTAAATTTTTTTGTTGTAATTCAATTTGGTTTGAAACTTGAGCTAAATATTTGCAAATGGGTTAATGTTATTTACAGGTGTGAGTAACAAATGTAAAGTAGAAATAATGGGAGAAAATCATTTTTCTTGCTTATTTTCACAATTGGAAATCAAACAAACCACTAAAACTTGCACAAAAGATTAAATTGAATCGTGTATCCTTGTTTTTTTTTTTTTTGATAACATTAAGGGGCGAAGCTCCAAACAAAAACAAACTAACAACCAGAAACAAAAAATAACTATCCAGGGTCTATACCCCTACAAGAGGAGATTCCCTGATCCTTGTTTAATTTCATTGTAAATTATGTTTTTTTTTTTCAATTCATATCAATATCTTGTCGATGACAACAGTTATTACAATCCGTTATATTATATATATATATATATATATATATATATATATATATATATATATATATATATATATATAAATATTTATCATTTTAAATGACATAACTGTATTATTTTAAATGAAATTATATTATTTTGATATATAAGTGGAGGAGAGAATGTAAAAAATTACTAATTATGAATCAAAAAGAAGTAATTTCATTTAAAATGATATAGAGTTATATCATTTAAAATGACAAATATTTTTCTCTTATACTAGTTATATATGAAACAGAAAAATGTAAAATTTTGGGGAAAAAACAAAAGTTATGTGGCACTGATAATTCAAAAAATCAGACATGTCGTATCCAACACTCTCCGACATCCTATTACTTTGACATGCTCCGACATCTATAATATTTAATTTTTATTACATCTCATTAAAAATTGATTGATATTTTAGCAAACTGATATTATAAAAATTAAAAATGAATACCAAATAAATTTTATTGGAGTGCATAAGAGATTTTCAATTTAAAAATATAATAGTAAATATTTACATCTTATGTTTCTTTGTAAAATTGATAGGTATTATAAGTTTAGTTTCATTTTTTTGTTAAATTATTGAATATTACATATAATATACACTATATATATTAAAAATATTATTTAATATTAAAATATTTCAAAATCTAATATTTTTTGAATTAACATGTCAAAGTATCAGATGATACCTTGTTTGGCATCGGTATCAATGCAACTTAAGGGTACAACTTCTCGAACAATATTAAGCGAAGGAGCTAGAACAAAACCACAGGAAAAAAAAAATCTTTATAATTTTGTTTGTTTTATTCGATCTTCAAAATTATAAACTAAATTATCTTAACATATTCTTAAAATCAAATCACACAATGAAAATTCAATTGAATTTGTTTTGAGTATCTAGTTTGTGGGAACAAGAATCTTCACATGCTAATCATTAATATGATAATTTTATGTTGTGAAGAAATTAAAATAATTGTAATAAAATTTATTAATATTTATGCAGAATTTATTAACTTTATATATAATTGATGGAAAAAATTCATTTACAAACTTTTTTTACAAATTACACTAAGTATGACGACAGGTCATACACTCTTGATTAAAGTATGACCGGTCATACTTAGTATAATTTATAAACAAAAAATTTGTGAACATAACATTTTCTATAATTGATAATACAGAAAAATGTTTGTCCTTTTAAATGACACAACTTATATCATTTCACTCTCACAAAGAGGTGGGACCCACACCTTTATATTTTTTTGTCCACTCTCTCCTCCTTTATCTATCTCTTTCTCTCACTTAAAATGATATAACTTTACATCCTTTAAAATGATACATATTTTTTTCTTGAAAATATATGTTAATAAGTAAGTTAACATTATTCAAATCCGAACAAATCCCAAGCAGTTGCTTCATGTACATGGTCTGTTCACAGCTCATAGTAGGGGTGTTCGCGATATGGATTGAATCGATTTTGGAAGTAAAAATCATTTAATCCAATCCCTTCGGTTTGATCATGTGATTATTTATTCGGTTTGGATTTTTTTTAAAATCCGATCCGATCCAATTCATTTTTTTTTTCAGTTTTAATTGGATGGATTTTTGATTTTTTGAAAATCTTAAAATGTGTTTTATTATTATTGTGCAAATAATATATTTTGTATATATTGGCTTCGTAAATTTTATTTTTTTTGAAATACAAAAGTATCAGTAAATGATAATATAATTTTTTTTTGACAATGAGATATAAAGCAGATGGAATTTTGTTGATTAGTTGTGACTGAGTTCTTTCTTGAGTTTAGTTTATGGGTTAATGGATCTTGAGTTTAGAAATTTTTGAACTATAATTGGGGGAAGACCCAAGTAGGTAGAGTGATATTAATATATTGGATCGGTTTGGATTGGATCGACTTTCATCAACCAATCCAAAAATTGATCCAATCCAATTAAAATTTGCGGATTTTTTTTTATTTTTGATTTCGGTTAATGATTTTTTGGTTCGATCACCGCGATTTGAATCGATTTA